GATTCTGTTGGTGAGGACTTTGTTTATAATTTTTGCATCTGTATTCATGAAAGATAATGGTCTGTAGTTGTTGTTGTTTTTTTCCTTGGTAGTATCTTTGCCTGGTTTTGGTATTAAGGTTATGCTTGTTTCATAGAATGATTCTGAAAGTGTTCCCCCTTTTTTTTCCTTCAATTTTTTCAAATATTTTAAGTAGAAGTGGTGCTAAATCTTCTCTGAATGTTTGTTAGAATTCAGCATGTTTATTGCAGCTTTGTTCACAATAGCAAGGAGTTGGAAACAACCTAAGTGCCCATCAACAAACGAATGGATAGAGAAGCTGTGGTATACTCACACAATGGAATACTACGCCACATTGAAAAACAAAGAACTCATGCAATATTATTCAAAATGGGTGACCCTGGAGGACATTATGCTGAGTGAAATATCTCAGTCACAAAAGGACAAACACTGCATAATTCCACTGTTGTAGAATGGGACTGACATCAGGGTTAGGATAAGAATGAGAAAAACTGGATAAATTATGTATACTGCATTGAAACAGATGAGGGAGAGAACAGGTTAAAAGAAATATATGATAGGGTATTATGGTTATCACAAGAGTCCAGAATGAAGGTTGCCTAGTTGAGGGTACTCAGGGCAGGGTTGGGGTGTACGGATTGTATACCAATGAAGGAATTTTTCTTTTCAAAGAGAAGAGCAAACTGGGGGGAGGGGTGGGCAGGGAGAAAAGTACAACAATGAATGAATGGGAATCCAAAATCTCTGTAAATGTTCATTAAAATTAATAAAAATTTAAAAAAATCAGCTGTGAAGCCATCTTGAACATAATGTTTTAACTTACCTTTTTACAAGATTCCCTGAAAGTCCTTAAAATAATTGTAACTCAGTTATTTGAGTTCTTATAGACAGTAATTTGTATCATAGTCTAAAAACATTTATTATTGACTAAGAACCTATTCATAGCTGACCATCCAGTTACACAAGAGATTGCCCATTTTTTCTCCCACAAATCTAATGGTGAATTCAAATTACCAGATTTTAATTATGCAGACTACACAACTAGAGTGCTATCTTGGGGTAAATGTATTTATAAATTCTATTTTAGCCTCTGATGGTTAAATATTTGAAATAGACCAAACATATTTGTTGGGAATGTCCATGTGCTGTACTTAGCATTTTAGAATATCAGAGTTCCTATGCCCTAAATGATTTCTCCTCACCATAAAAATCTATAGACAGAATGTGTGAAAGATATTTAGTAAGAATTTGTAAAAGAAGCAAATACAGCATGAAAATGGCTAGATCTGTCCACAATTAACTCTACAAATGGGAAATGTCCACATTAATAACATCCATATTACCAAAATAATAGCTACATCATCAGACATGGCTTACACACTCTGCTGTGCCTTCTTCTACTAGTCACTGGTCTGATGTTCATTAAAAATTGACTCACAGATTTTGTCACAATGAGGTTTATTAAGGAAATAGTTTGGAGAGTAAAGGAAGCCAAGGATGTCACACAGTAAAAGTTTTAGTACAGCAGTCTCGAGGCAGAATAACAAGAAGACAAAATTCCTTAATTAGTTTAAACAGTTTCTCAGTCAACAAGTCTTAAGTCCAAGTTTGGTCCAGCAACATAAATACAAGAAACCTGTGGTTGCTTCAGTCATCCTGCAAGCTTTGTCTGATAGCAGTCCCAAATTAACTCTTCCTTCAGTTATCTGACAAGCAGAACCTTTAACTCTGGCTTCCTCTTAGGAGATAAAGCTCCATCAGATTACACCTTGCCACAGTCTCTCCACAATCTGACTACCTTTATCTCTTATGGCCTTATAGCTGGTGATGATGTTGAAGATGTTGATCAAAGCAAACAGTGTCTCTGCAGTTGAGGCAGGTGGAAACTACAACTCCAGCAAAACTCTCCATCAAATATGAAGGAGAAATGATTCTTTACAGAAAAGAAGGAACTTAAGGAGTTTGTAAAAACAAAACCAAATCTACAACATTTTAGGGAAGTCCTTCACACAGAGAGACCAAAGAAAAGCAGATGGACCATATTAACCGAAATAACAGAAAAAGAAACACAGCAAAATGACAGCAATAAAACCTGACCTGTCAATAATCATACTTAATGTATTGAGACTAAATGCACCAATCAAGAGGGGGGAAAATAGTAGAATGGATAAAAAAAAAGACCATCTACAACAAACACATCTAAGAAATGAAAAGAAAGATACACTCAAAATCAAAAGCTAGGGGGGAAAAAACCCATAACAAGCAAATGGCATCCACAAAAAGTAGGAGTGGCAATTACTAATCCCTGATAAAGTAGACTTGAGGATGAAAACCACCATAAAAGACAAGAAGGGCACCATATAATGGTTAAAGACACAATAGAAAAGAAAACATAACTGTGGTCAACATCTGTATACCACATGATAGACCTGCAACAAACAAAAAACAATGGTGAATAAAATTGAATAAGGAAATAACACTACAATAGTGGTATGAGACTTTAATATACCACTTCCACTAAGGGATAGGTCAATTCAAAAGAAACTTAAAGATTCAGAATATCTAAACTGTACATTCAGCCAACTTGACCATAGGACGTATTCAGAGTACAGCACCCAACCAAAACTCAGTTCAATCTCAAGTGTGCATGGAACATTCTACAGAATGGATCATGTCTTAGGGCTCAAAGCAAACCTCAGCAAATTCAAAAACACTGAAATAATGCAAACTATCTTCTCAGACCAGAACCACCAGAGGATAAATTTTATAAAATCACTCGTGTGGAAACTAAATAACACCCAGATAGAACACAGTTGGGTTGCAGAAAAAAAATGAAGAATGAAATTTAAAAAGTTCCTCAAAAAATGACAATGGAAATACAATGTACAAAACCTCTAGGATGCAGGTAAGGCAGAAAATTCATATCAATAGGCAAACACATAAAAAGAAAGAAGCAAAATTAATGATCTGACTGAGCACCTTCATCAGATAGAAAAAAGAACAACAATCTAACCCACAGCCTCCAGGATAAAGGAAGTTAAAAGAACAAGAGCTAAAATCATTGTCATAGAAAACAGAAAAACTCAGTCAACAAAACCAGGATCTATTTTTTTAAAGGGTCAATAAAATTGACAAACAGTTGGCAAACTTAACAAAAGGGTGGGGGAAGAAGACACAAATAACCCAATTAAGGAATGATAGAGGTGACATCACAACAGAACCAAATGAAATTAATCTGTAATATCAGAATATTATGAAAAGCCATACTCTAAATATTTGAAAACTTGGAGGAAATGGACAAATTCCCTGAAACCCATGCCCTTCCCAGCTTGGGGGGTTGGGGGCTGTACATCTTCCTAAGGCCCCAGTTTACAAAAACCCATGTCTAGAACAATAAATCCCATTGTTTCTGACATTAGCTGTAAAAGAAGCCAATGTAGAATGGACATGGCCAAATCTGTCTACAGTGAACTCTACAAAGGGGGACGGCCCTCATTAATAACATCCACTGTACAAAAACACTGGCTCAAGGTCAGACATCGCTCTCCCACTCTGCTGCACCTACTTCTGTTAATCACTGGGGTCCGGTGTTCATTGCTGATTTACTCACAGAACTTACTTTACGCACAGCTGTGGAATTTATTAAAGAAATAGTTTTGGGGGGAGTGTGAAGGAAGCAAAAGATACACACAGTAAAAGTCCCAGTTTAGTCTGACAGTCCCAAGCCAGATTAACAAGACACAATTCCTCAGTTAGTTCAGATGGCTTCTCAGTAAAAAATGAAAGTCTAGGTTCAGTCCTGCAACACAAATGCAAGAAGCCTCTGATTTTCTCAGTTGTCCTACTAGCTTTGTCTCCTAGCAGTCACGAGTCAGCTGTTCTTCCTTAGATTGTCTAACACGCAGAACCTTTAGCTCTGTATCCAGGGCTCCATCAGGCCACACCTTGCCACAGGCTCTCTAGAGCTGGTGATGATATTGAAGATGCTGATCAAATCATGTGTCTACAGTTGGGGCAGGTGGCGACCATGACCCCAGGGAGGCTAAGGCAATGAATATAAAAGCCATTTTCAAAAGTTCTAACACCATAGAATGGGAAACCATACTTAAAAAAAACAACAACAAAAGAACAACAACAACAAAAAAGACACTAGGTATCCTGGTATTTTGTGCTGTGTGGTCCATTTTATCCTCCATCTTAAAATATATTTCAAATCGTAATTTATCAGCTAAGTTCATTTAAATGATTGCTTATTCAGAATATATTGAAGAATTTCTCAAGGTAAATACTATTTGAATAAAACTTTTAACTGAATGTTTCTATCCTAGTTTTGTCATTAATTTTGAAGTCTTGAATAGGTCTGTGTGAAAGCAGGTAGACAGATTACATGACGTTAAACTACTTTTTCATTATCCAAATTTATGATATGTCACTTACCTTTATTCCCGTTTCAAAACATGGTAAAGTTAGACTAATATTATCTAAGACGTTTGCTCACATTTTCTAGTCATGTATTTTATTACTTTTTATGTAACTATTGTCTTACCTCTTTCATCAGGTGAAGATTTTTCTGTTCCTGATTCATAGTAATCAGGTGTGATTTTAAGTTTCTTAAACATCATCACTTTTCATTAACTATTTCAATTAGGTATTTTGATAAAGCAGGGAACATGGGGAAAAACAGTGACCCAGTATGACTTATATTTGATTTTTTAAAAATAATTTCTTCTTAAGCTGTAACCTTTTTATCCCAAAAACTTAATACTGAAAAATAGGCATTCTCTTTTGGAAATTGGTGATATTTCACAAGTAACATGAGTGTACTCTGAACTTTGGATTGGAAGTAAGGAACTCAAGTTTATTCCAAAGTTAATATTAAATACGGATTTGATTGTTTAGTCTTAATGTTATAATGCATTCATTTGAATATGTCACTATGAAAAGATTTATCTCACAATTTACTTGACTTTTTTCCACAGCAAATGAAAACTACAAACAAATAGCAATGTGCATTCTGTACCACATAAGCATGGATGACCGCTTTAAATCAATGTTTGCATATACTGATTGTATACCACAGGTAAGTTGTTTTAGTGTTTTTTTTCTATTATAATTTTTTATTTTTA